ACGCTGGTGCGGCACCGTGATGTCGGTGTCGGCGAAGGCCTATTACAAGGAGATCACCAGAGAGGCCTCACGAAAGTTAATCAACTCGATGGGCGCAACAATTAGCCACCCACTCCAACCAGTGCGTCATAACCATGAGGCTGCCTACAAGCGTAGACCGTGGTCGATCCATTCATTTCTGGCCAATCGACCTGACAAATGACTTAGACTAAACCCATCCTATTCTCCCATTCGTCCGTACCCCTTCTCGAACTTCCGGGATAAGCTACTTAACCTAACCCTTCCAGATTCACTGGCAACCTGTCAGGTTTTCCAGGATTTCCTTGGAACAGAGGTCGAGGCTCCGTTGTCTTCCGATAGCGACGTCACTTTGCTTTTTCGTAGTTCACAATTCCATTCTATTGCACGGAATGACCTCAACAACTCGGGCAACGAGGTGGGTGATCTTATTCTTAGGAAGAGTCAAGACCGATCCATTGACGTCGTTACCATGATGCCATGGGCGCCTCTCCCTCATATCATACTCCTCAATCAAACCGAGGTCCACCTCCCACCACCGCCCTACAATCTGGAATATCATTAAAGAACAGGATGTCCGGCTCGAAGATTGCAAATCGTTCTTCCGAACCCTTCAGGCCTTCAGGCCTGACGGACACGGTCTGTCTCGATCAAACCACAAAGTTACATCAAAACCAAAAACGACTCAAACTCTCCCTCCAATTCAATACTCTGACGTTTCCCCATCCCACAATGACAGAACTCGAACCCACCCCCACACATACTCACATCCACCATGTCAAATTCTGCCAAGCCGTCATATGTAGTACGAACACGGTATTACGTCCCTGTCATCGTCGACTCATCCCCAAATCAGATTCAAAGAATCAGCATCCCTGGCAAGCTAAACTACCACTCATCCCTCCAATTGGAGTCGATTTCCCTCGTACCCGAACCCAGGTCCATTCAATGGCGTACCCCCATCTCCATCGGTAACGTTAATTCAATATCAAAACTCGGTCCTCGGTTCCCGGGTGTGAGGGTCTCTCCCATCTCGACTATGTGCCAAATCTTTCCTTGCGACTCTGCACTCTAGACGCGGCTGCATTTCAACTTTCTTTACCCTCGTTTCCTTCCTTCTTCCAAGGCTTCTCTCGCTTCGGTACCTCGCCGAAATTAGGATATAGTACATCGCAACGTCAACCCACACAAACCCAAACCTAAGCCCAGAACCATGCATTCCACCAATGTCAAGTGTCGACCTTGCCAGGTACAGTCCGAGTCCATATGTCAACCTACGCTATCTTCGGTTCGACGGGGAAACGGTAACTGACCACCCACTCCATATCAACGTCTCCATGCTTAACTATTCTTGCGCATGCTATGCTATGCCAGTAAATGTCAACTTGTCCATCATGGCACGCAGTCAACATCGTGAGCCGTACGGAGTGGAGTACCTTTGGATTTAAACCGCCCCTTCCAATTCAACTGAACTTCGAATTCAGAGTACAATATTCTTACGCAAACAACGACGGAATTCGGAGTCCAATAACCTGACAGTTGGGCGAATATAGAGCGGCCTATCGGTATCGGTAAACCTAGTAGTACGCAACCTGGATTAGATTATGACGATCCGTCGGCAACGTCCAAGTATTTTAGGGAACAGTAAGTTACATAAATTACTCACTCTACCGGTGGCTGGTTGGTGGCGCCAGTCCTTCGTTCTTCGATGACGTTGTAGTTGTAAATTACGGTACAGTATAAATATACTGAGTTGCCTGTCTTTTTTTGCTACGGACACGGAATACGGAAATTACGCGCGATGGGGCAAGTAAAGTGGGTCCACCGTACACTTAATGCCGACGCAATTCAAAAACTTCGAAGCTGAGCTGAGCTGCCCCCCGCGCGCTCGCCTTGTCCAATACAACGATTAGACCGGGTAGCGAACGCTGATGGATTCGAAATTCGACGAGGCCCCCGCGCGTCTGTACTGTAAAAAAACAAGGATAAGTCTAGTACAGTAAGTTAGCATGCCACGATGCTTGGAACTTGTCTTTCCACATGCAACGAAATCTTATTCTAACACCACTTTTTACTTCTTTCTTCCAATTCCTGTTCCTATGCCAGATAGAAGTGATGGTAAACGCTTGCTACGGATGAACGTTGAACGCAGCCATCCCGATGGTCAATCAACCTTACTCAACGTCGAGTCGCATGTGCTGCACTGCAAATGACAATCTGGTGTTTGCCTGGCCACCCACCACATGCAACGGAACCTTATTAACATTCCAGAACCTGAAAACTTACTACTTCCCAACGACAGGTGCGCTCCCGAAGCCTGCTCAACCGCGTGTTGCAAATAAGTTGTATGTATCGATAATTGACGAACGCCACGGTGCACTGGTAGCTGGACGGTTAACGTTGGAGTTCTACCAACGAATGGCATGCGGCTAGGAACGCCTATTAAGCCTATACAGCACATGTAGGTGTGGGTAGCCATATAACTAACTGGGAAGGTCCCTTTGACCTGCTTTATCGCGCCTCTCCACCTCTATTTCAATCCTACCATCCTCGATCACTTCAACCCGTTCGCCCGTCGGCCAATCCGTTGCTTATGAACTTATAATGGGTGCGAACAACTCTACTATGATCAATTTCCAAAAGAAAATCGCACCCGGCTCCAACGGTTTCGATATTGGGATGGGATCACCAGAATTACTGAAACTGGCCATGCATATGGAGGAATCGAAGATGATGATGATGATGATGGTGATGGCGAGGGATCTGGATGAAATCTGATGCTGGGGAAATACGAAATTCCGGTGATCGCGAAACTGGCTTGGCTTTAGGTTGAGTACAAGTCATTTCAATGTTGTGGGTCTCCCGTGCTCGAAATACTGGTTCTGATACCTGTAGAGAGCAGAGTGGTTTGACAAACCCAATCTTGATCACGAACGTTCAAGTCCATCGTCTAATCAAAAGGTAGGCATATTCGGGGGTCCTGAAGGCCTGATAAGCGGCTACAAAAGCTCAAGATAAGCGCCATGAGCTAGATCTCAACTGTATTGTTAACGGGGTCCTCGTAAGCGCATACGCGTCGAGTAACTTAGCGCTGACGATCAACTCTATCTCAATACTATTACCCCGCCGCGTACATTCCCAATCGTCGCTTCCGCAGTGAGACCATAAGTCCCAATGGCCATCACCGAGCGACGGCTCTGTCTCTAACCACATCAACTTTTGACTTAAACTAAATTTATCTGTCGGTTGGACGAATGGAGATGGCCTCTTCCTCTGATCACCGTCCCGTCATGGTCAGGCCGTTTACCCCAAGTAGCAACCGAAGCACCTATCTAAGTCACTAATCCGGCCAACCGAGGCGCTCACTCGGACTTGATCGACTGATCGAAATAACACAACTCGAGGAACTTCAGGAAGAACCTGATTGATTGTTTATCTTCCCTATCGACTGTAACACAGCGTAGCATCGCAACATTTCCACAACGGTCTACCACCACGAGTGCAGCTGAATATACAGAAGCACTTCTTCTGCAGAAGGTATCATTCAATTGAATACACACTGCGCCGAAGGGATGATTAATGATTAATGATTGGATGGCGACAATGCTCTCGGGTGGAACTCCTCACCGTTCAAGTAGGCGAGCGGTTCCCCATCAAGATCATCAATCGAACCGGGGCCGCCATAGCCACTCGAACGAAGGAGCATATGGGTATATATGGGTCCGAAGTTTTAAGTCCCAAGTTGCAGATCGTTATGGCGTCATGGGTTGTTATCATATCGTGTCTGCATCCCGCAGAGATAGGCTCTAGCTGCCTCGTCTAATTAATTTGAGCTGGCTCGAATTCAAACCGGGATCAAGTTGGGACGCCATCCATTTGCAATGGTGGAATGCGCAAGGCTTCGACTTTGACATGCAAGCATGGTGAACGGGTTTGCTGGGCCGAATCGCCGTGAAATGGTAATAAGATGAATCAACGTGTAAGTGGAGGGATTCTGTCGGGTTGCTGAGCGCTGAGATCGGCCGAACGAGTCGTCGTGCATGATTGCACGTTCGTCCTGACATGTCTCTGCCGTCGTCACTTAGCCTAGGAAATAAGTCAGCTAAAGGAAACCTCTCAAGGTCCCAGTTGAATTATACCTACCCTCATCCCCACCTTCAATCGTCGACCTGCCATTGACGCAATCGCGAAAAGTTGCATAGGAACCCACAAGGGCCAGCACCTTTTTAATGCGCGACCACATCCGCGCATCCGAGGATCCATCGAGAAGTACTTCGCAACGCCCAAGGTCAGCATATTAACCATGATCCCAGTTACCGTTGGGTCGTACCTACCAGATTCTGTATAAGGCTCGCTCGAGTTAGCCCCAAAGTGAGTAAAAGGCAACACAAAACGGATCAGCGTACCGACTTGTCCTCCCGCGAAGCACTCGTTATCGTACTATCCCCTGCATGGTGTATAGGGTGCTCGGCCCGATCTTTAATACTATCTGTATACGAGCAGCAAGTTGAGGTTACCGAGTGAAATATGTACCAGGTTGTAGAATCGTCGTGTCCGGTTCTTTGAACTTGAAGGTACTTGAGCTCGTGAACAACTCAGCAATAGATAATTCACCGCAGGATCACTGCAATTAAGTTCGAAGGCCACCACACTGCGCATGCGAAATCGCAGTCAGAATAGCCACCTGTTCCTCAATGGTTTATCTGTTTGCGAATCGACCTTTTGCTGACGATCAAGGTTGAAGACAACAGTGGAGGGTGGAAAACTTGGTGGAGAAACACAAAACACTCCACGTGGTCTGAATCTTATCGTACTCATCTTATCTTATCAGTTCTTCCAGGTGAACACAGAATTGAATTTGGGTATCAGCTCGAAGATCTAGTCCGGCTTTGACTCGACGTTTAGTGCAAAAAGACACGGAGGGAAATTGGAATATCTGCCCCACAATAAGGGTCGGAAATTGGTAGAAAGTCCAACTGGGATGGAACGGCTCAGATTCGAACTGAGATCGTAAGACAAGAGCAATTCTGCGTCAGCATTTACCATTATGCTACCGTCCCACGCTGAATTCATGCTCCAGGCCTCCACAACTCGAAGTCTCGAACCTGGCGGCACCGCATAAGCAATATTTCATCTCACAAATCATCAGAAAAATGTCGGGGTAATTTATAAACCCATAAGACCATTGAAGTCGGGAACTGAGTTGCTCGACTTCAAGGAGAACTTGAGGGCTTCGAGAAATCGTCTTCGTGTTAAACGGCTCAGATTTCAACTGAGACGACCGTATGACCGCATTACCGTTAATTATGCCACCGTCCCCCGTTGCTAGATAGATTTGTAGTCAGAAACCTCAAGAAAGGGGCGAATCGAGGGCTCACCAGACGACGCGACCAAGCATTGCCTGGGGCCCGTCTCTCAAAAGATCACACAAGAACAGTATTCAAAAAGAAGTGTCATCAAGTTGTATTAAAAGTATAAGCTACAAGTTTGTATAAAACGTTATGGAGGGGGGCGTTAGTTGACTAGTTGATACAGTAATTAAGAAAGTCCTCGCAAAGGAGTATGATGGTCGTGAGTATGTGGTATGGTAATAATGGTATGTTCAAAAGACGTTGGAGGTAGAGGAGAAAAGAAAAGACAATAAAATAAAATATGTGGAGATGGATGGGCTATGCTATGCACGAGAGCGAAAAACGAAAGCAAGAGAGAGAGAGAAAGAGAAAACAGAGGGTAGTCGTAAATTTCGTTTGCAAGAGGGTTTATAGATGCGCTTTGGCATCGGAGAACAAAAAAGATAAAAAGAGAAAGAGGAGAATAACGAAAAACTTTTCAGACGCACTCATGATCTCAAAAACATCTCGACGGGGATAGGCTTCCTCCTCAAGCCACTACTCCCAGAGCTCGAAGTGCTCTCTTCGCTTCCTGCATCACTGACACTCAAACTCGGACTGCGCCTAACACCATGACCGCGCATGGTCGTATCAGACTCATTCCTCCCATGTCCATATCGTCCGTACCTCTTCGAGGGCGAAGGCGACGGAGAAGCCATCGTCGAGTACATCCCAGGTGACTTCAAAGCCGGCGAGGTCTTAGGCGAGGGCGACTGGGGTAGGATAAAAGCACCAAAGGCTTTCCCACTCAAACTACCCTTCTTCGCATGGAACTTCGCTGAAGGCGAAGAAGGTGTCGCAGGGCCCGCCCCTGTTGAACTCGAACCGCCAAAGTACAACCTCAACTTGGCCGAAGCACCTTTCCCGCGTCGACTACGCTTTTCTTCCCTCACAGAGGAAAGAGTCGAAGAGCTCCATTTCGAACGGAGGACAGGGTAGTCGGGGGAAGAGGTTTCTTGGGTTTGTGGGAGTACAACTTGGTCGTCACTAGCCAGAGGAGCATCTACATAGGTAGAGCAGGAGGCCGTGGAGGAGGGCGCAGGCACTGCCATAGCCACTTCAACTCCTTGTTCCTCAACTTCCTTCTGGACCTGAACGACTTGCTCGACCACTTGTTGAGGGCGCACCAGGCTTGTTGGGCGTACACGAGGTGATGTCGATGGAAGACGAACATGGGATGGAACGGGAACTTGGAGTAGAGGCTGGCTTGGGACTTGAGAGTGCTCTTGTTCCTCCTTCATTCTCAACTCCTCCAAACCCATAGCGATATCCGCTTCCAAGTCGATTGGAGTGCCAGGAAGAGACAACGGAAGCATCATGGGCAATTCAATGTCCAAATCGAAATCAACTGGGAATTGGATCTCTTCCGAGTCTTCTTCGATGGCTTCATGAGCGGTAAGGCATCCCTCGCTTTCTCCACCATATGCATAACCGTACTGAACCTCTCCGATAGTGGAGGCATCATCAGAGGCGCAGGGAACGGTGAGACCGGCGTCGAACATGGTCACAAAGTCATGATAGCGGGTGTCCACAGCGTTATGGTCGTCATCGGAGTGGGCTTCAGGAGATTGAGGAACATCGTCCCGCTGTTGTTGGTCACGAGCAAAAGAAGCTTGCGAGTAAACACTCAAAGGGCTCCTGGAAGCGGTATCCAGATCATTCGCGTAGAACGAAACGGAGAAAGTCGAGCACGCATCATCGTCGAAGATGAAATCTTCTGGGACGCTGGAGCGGGGTGGCGGGCGGATAGTGAGCCTGGGAGGAGCGATGACAATCGGGGAGCAAGGTGAGACGATGACTTTGGGTTGTGCAACGACAGGCGGAGGCGGAGGAGGACGAGTGGGGATGATAATGGATCTTCTCTTCTTTGGGAACGCAGGGTCAAGCTGAGCGCTTGGAACACCACCGTTCAACTTCTTCGAGTCCGAAGACACGGTTGAAGCAGAGGGAGAAGAAGGTTGCGAGGAAGGCGTAGGTGCGACAACGGGAGCTGAAGGTGTAGAAGTTGGGATCACGTCCGACTCTGAACGGGCACGAGATTGTCGTCTAGGGAAGTTGGCTGGGACATGCGAAGAAAGGCTGAGGATCTTTGAGAATTCGCGGCTGTACCACTCGGAGTCAGATTCAGGATCCGACTCATAATGGGAACCCTCTTCATCAGAAGAGGAACCCGGAGAGGTCAGAGGGGAAAGGAGGGCAGCACGGTCGCATTCTGGCGAGGGTGCGCTGAGGAGGCTGCCACAATTTTCGGTTTCATCACCCTCAGGAGGCGAGTAGATAGACAAAAAGTGCTTGTGCCTTGCGATCATAAGGGGCTTAATGGACGCCCTTCTTGGATTGAAAGGCCGTGGTGAAGGCAAAGGTAGTTCGTCGTCGTCTGAGGTGGCAGGAGTCTTGGGCAAAACCTCTGCGTTTGAGCAAGGGCTAGAACCGGGAGAAGACATGGATGGGGTCGGTGACATGATCTCGGAGCGGAAGCCCTGCGGGGAGGACAATGACGATGGAGTCGGGATGGGAGGAATTGGGAAGTTGAAAGCGGTATCAATGAACGTGAGGTTGAAGGAATCCACGTCAGGAGACCCCGAAGGGCTTGGTGTTGTGGGAGGGCGAGGGGCGGGTCGTGGTGCTGAAAGGAGGTTTTCACTACGACCTGGCAAGTCGTTGCCGCTGTGAACTTCAACTCCCTTGGCAATTCGGATGTCCGATACGTTAAGGTTTTGTTTCCGCTTAAGCTTCAGCGGGAGTGTCTGACTTTTCGATGGAGAGGGCGAACGAGCAGAGACGCGAGCCTCATCCTCTTCAAGAATGATGTGAAGGGGTTTGCTGTTCATGGAGTTGAACATTGGTGGTGGTTTGGGAGTTGGACTGCGAGCGCGTTGTGTTCGCGCCTGACGCTTTAAGAATGTGTCGCGAGAGAAAACTGTAAAGACCGAAGCAGGTTATTATCGGAAAGGTCGAAAGAACGTGGGGGGAGCAAGAACAAAAATGAACTCACAAGTAGAAACAGTCGTGTTCATGTCGGTCGTTTATAAGGATTAGACTCTAAGAAAAAACAAGACCAGGGAGGAGGTACTGCCTGATGAAGATACCAAGGCAAGAAAGACGAGGTACCCGACCTGTCTGGCCACTGGTTATAAGAACAAGGCAGCCATTGTGTTCACCAGGATTGTTCTCGAGGAGAACAAAGGGCTCGGCAAAGACCATTGCCTTATTTGGCAGTCAAGCGGAGTTCGAATTCCCACGTGTGGGCGCATTGTTCATTGTCCTCCTCTGCTTCTTGATTCCGTTGGCCTCAATGGGTTCTTGCTTCGCTGGCGTATAAGAACAATGGTATCCAGATTGTTCACTATGTGTAACACATCGTAAATGATCTGATCTCGGCTCGAGTGCTCGGTCTGGCCGACAAATAGCGGATCAAGCGCCTAAATGAACGGGCAGGAGTCTTCCGAAGGTACATCACTTTCAACCAAATTCGCAGAGAGCCTAAAGAAAGCACAGAACCTCCTGGCTCGTGTTGGATCTAAGCATGACGCTGCTTCGCTCATCCTCTGCCAATTCCGACAGCAAAAATGCCCCCGATCCTGAGAAACCTCGTTCCGAGAACCAAAGCTCAAGAAATTTGGCTTTCATGAGACGGACCTCCACGTTAATTGACCGTCCAGATTGCCTTTCGATCACTCATTTTCTGGTCACCTTTGTGCGGGTCAGCTGGTTGCTCACAAGGCCTTTCATGCGAGATCTCGATTGCAATGTGTCGTTATTTGGCCAGCAGACCCGTGACACACACGCACAAACAAGCTAAGCGAAACTTACCCTTTCAACGCTTTCCGCCTTGCTGTACGACTTAGCCTCTACTCATGTTATTCAGCAGGCTGTCGTTATCTACTTCTACACAAACGATTTGCCTGCTGGACGAGACAGGCTGACCTGATTATTTACGGGTTTCAGGACCAATGCTCGTATGAATGCCTCTGCTTGGATGCACTTATCGAGGGGCGATGTAAGTCTCGTGCCTTATAATCTTGGACAGTCTTCTGACGATTGACAAAGCACGATCACGGACGATGCGTGATCACAAGAGTTGAAACGTTGATCGCCCAATTTGGGTGCTTGTTTGGCTAAGCTTGCGCCTCAGCTGGCAGCCAAACAGGGTCAAAACAGCGATGACCCCTTCAACGCAACCAATCATGGCCTATCCACGTTTCTGACAGGAACACCATCTTATCTGCACTCTATCACGTACCTGAGATATGATGCCCGAACAACTTATCCAACAGGCATTCGGCCTCCACTCTTTCGTCACCTGTGACGCGGATGCTGTGGCTTGGGGTCGGTCCACAACTTACAAGAGGGGCTAGTGCGTTCGACTTTGAATCGAAGAGGATATTGCTAAATACGACTTGTTATGTCAAACGGGGTTTTGCACCTTCTGATGGAACTTGACATGTACGGTAAAAAGGGGAGCGAGAAAGGATTTACCTTGACACCAAACACTGACACTTTCTCTCCGATTTTCCCCTCAACCTTACGACCTCTCTTCCCCGGGAACCTTTTCAATTACCGCATGTGAAGAGCCCGCTGCTATCGATGAGGCCTCAGAATTCTGTTCCTTGTTCCCTCCAAGAGTTCGCAGGCCGCCTTGAGGTGTGAGAGCGTAGGTTATACCCTTT